GTTGTGTTGCGTCACTGCGACTTACAATTATATCAAACATGTTTGATATTATCATAAACCCAAGACTCGGAAAAGACTGATATAAAACAGCACCGATTACCACCTTAAATTTAACGATTGAGGTGCATGGGAGCCCGATGTGACTCTAGTAAAACTTCAGGGTTTACTTAGGACTTTCGGTTTTTAGTCTGGGAAAATCATTTGGTGGAAGCTCAGCAGAAGACCAGCTCTTTTGAGAACTCTATGCTCTCAACTAGATGAGTCTCCATTGTTGTCCCAAGAGGCAGAACTAGTCTTCCAGCTACAATTGGCTCACACTGTCCTACTTCTGGGATTTCTGTGCCCAGCTCTTTGTGAGTGACCCGGGACTTGGTACTCTGGTCATTTTTGTGGCAAAAACAATTTGATTGATGGGAATGATGGAAGGTCTTACATTGATGACTGATGACAATCAATCAATCAATCAATCAATCAATCAAATATTCACTGTTGTGCGTGGCTTTAACACTGCACGGCAGTACCTCTGTCCAAATACAATTGAAGCACTTTGTGGCTCTTAACTGATCTTGTTCTTTCTTGTCTTGATCTTTGCTTGTTTTGTTTTCGCTCTCAGATATACTTCACTCTGGATAACAGCGACATGCTAAGTGAAACTGTAACATTATATTGCATCATATCACACATAATAACTGCTTCCTGTGTTTACTGCTGGTCTAACTCAAAAACAAGAGTGTTAGATGTTATTGATCAGGCTTGCAGGCCTTGCTACCTTGTGATAACCCACGTTTAACAAAGATCTACAAAATTGAAATACATAATCATAATTTGTCAAACCACTTGAAGTTTCTTTAAAGCTTTAGATTTGTCTCACATGTTTCATGATTTTTTTTAATCTTCATAAACACAAGAGGTAAAATAGAAATGGTAACTTTACAAATGAAATTCAGACTATGAGAGCTATGATATGTCAAATTTGTGAAGTTAGTAGACCTATGAATCAGTCCTTAAAACATTTGATAAGGCTTCAAGTTTTTAGATAATTTCATCTTATGCAATGGAATGCAAAGAGAAAGCTGCTTTTTATCCGACAGTGCGAAGAGCAGCCTGAAACTTCAGAGATTTGGGTGAGTCAGAGTTGGAAGCGGGAGAAAGAGAGAGAAAAAAGCCAGAGAAAGATGCAGACATGAGAAATGAGACAAAAAGGGCAAGGCCTTTCTGACTTTTTATCTGATGCTGATGTTTTGTTTTTCTTCCTCCCTTCATCCGTCTGCTCATGCAAGACAGCTGCAACAGTGAATGAACTTTTGAACACAAGAAAATATCAAACTCACCTTTAAGCAAGATGAGTAAGACAACAATAATAAGAGGGCGGATTGGATAAACAAGAAGAAAACTAGGGGAATTTGGGATTTTCAGAAGTCTTCATCTAGACTGCACAGCTTTAGCCTTGAGAACGGGAAAGTCTGTAAATAAAAAGGCAATACGCTCTACATTATTTAGGGAAATAAAGCTCTAACAAGTCATCTGCTTTAATAAGAAATGTGCACAGGTAAGATGCTCTCAAAGGGCTGAAAAGACACAAACACACAGTTATTCTCACCTTACCTAACCCTCTCAATTAGTTCTGACTTTCACTGGGCCCACTTATTTCTTAGCTGGACTTGAAAACTGAATACCATCACTTGTGGTATCGCTTGTGTCAGCGCCAGAGCTTCACATTTCAACCTTTTGACAAGACTCTTTCCTTTAGAAAATTAGTGGCAAGAGACAGAAGAATAAATTAGATTCATGTGAAACATCCCACCACCTCTCTGCTCTTTGCTCCTCTCCCTCAGATAAAGAAAAAAAAAAGAAAGAAAAATAACTGGGTCCCTATCCTCTTTTCTTAATCATGCTCTGTTTTTCCACTCCTGGACTGCTGTGAACAGCTTAAGTGCATTTGTTCTCCTGAATCAAGCAGCATGTCCTAAGTTGTTGTGTCCTTTTTTTCTTCACTACTTCTTACTCGCTTTAGTACTCTGTTTTGTTATCTGATTGATCCCTGGACCTCTGTATCCTTCATCTACAGTAAGTGCTAAAATGGTCTCACTTAATGTGTGTGTATATACCTGTGTGTTTGTGTGTTCCTCTCAGTATCTTTTTATAAAAGTAGACATAATGGTTTGACCAAAGGTCCACGCTTGGGAGTTGTTCTATTTTTCACTAGTAAACAAAAATCAATATCAGCAAGTGCCTTAAATGCGTTTTGTTCTAATGGCCCCTGTTCGTCTCTCACTTGTTTTTGTGAAAGTGTGAAGGAGATGATTTAAGGTCTTTGAGGCTGGAGCATCATGTCAAATCGTGTCCATCGATTCATGTGCACTCAGTGTCCATTTTAGTGGGTACACCTTGATGGGTCCAAGAACAACTCATTTTCCCCGGAGAACAGGCTGAAATCTGCCAGGAAAGATTCAATAAGGTGAATCTTTCCTGGCAGACTGATGCAGGTCACACACTTTGTTCTTTTGATGATTTTTAACACCTATCACCCATCGCACACATTCGATGATGGTCTAAAAGGTGCGCAAGTAAAAACAAAGTGACTATAGCTGTGGGTGATACAGTAGACTCCTCTGGTTAACATTTCTATGACGGAGTATGTTGCTGCATTTACCGCTCAGGCCATGGACCCTCCAAATGACGGTTCAGACATCTCCAAAGACTCTATTTGTGTTTCCATGGACAGTTTTAGTGTCGAGTTTAGTGGCTTTTTCATCACACCCTGATTCTTTGAGTACACTTGAGTGGTGAATATGTCTGAACAGATTGAAAGGACGAGTCATCTTCACTTTATCAATGTTTGACTGTATTTGTTTTCTTCCCCTCATCTCATCTAAAGGCCATTTTGTTGCCATCACGAGCAGAGCCAAGAGAAAAGACTTTTAGGTTGGGGTGCTTTTGTTACAGGGTGCACTTTACTTCTTTTTGCATTTGAGGAGCCACAATACATGTACTTTGTAGTATGCGAGCTTCTAAGTGGGCATTTCATTTATAACTTCACAGTCTAATATAATACAATATGAATACAAAGCCAGTTTGCAACCAACAGACCCCTTAAACAAACAAGTGCTTACAGGCCAAACCTGAAGAAACAGGTCTCCAAAGCTGTTGCGCAACTGACATAGATTGGCGCTCAGGGCTGGATCTTCTGTTGTGCTCTTTAAAAAAAAATCACATTTGTACCAAGTTACGACTAACTGCTTTAAATGTTGCATCATTAGCAGCTGCCTGAAGCTGCTGGGTGGCAAACTTTTGAAATGTCCAATTACTGTAATGAGTAGCCTTATTTAAAATGTTCAAATTATTTAAAATTGAAGTCATAATCTCTAATCTACCCTAAGAAATTACTGTAAAACATGTCATAAAAGGAGAATTTTATGAGGTCTTTTCATGTGTTTATTTTTATGTATTTATTTTACATTTGGTAACGGTGATGCTGCAGCACCTGTAACACTGCTACCTCTCGGGATCATTCTTCCTCAAGTTAAGAGTTTTTACCTCTGAATGTACTCCATCATTACATTTATTCCCTTTTGGTTTCAGTAATTGCCCCGTGAAAAGTGGTCAGCTACCCACTGCATGCATCCCCCCACTCTCTTCTCTCCACAGTGACTGCCTCCTCAGTCATCTCATCTAATTAAGTTTTTAAAAAATGCCTGAAAGAAACTCTTTAAAAGTTATATTACATCTCACTTAAAATTTAACTGACTGAAGACATTTGTATCAATTGGATTTAATTTCAAGTAGACAAAGTTGGAGGACTTCACTCTGTTGGGTTTTTGCTGTTCAGCAATGAAGTGGACTGTGGTGGTGAGAAAGAGACACTCAAACTAAAGTTGAAGTTTCTGGTTTCAGCTCCAACACTGATAAATCTGACTGAAAACTTAAGAATAAAACATTAATCAGTACATATCTTCTATTATGAAGGTGAGATGGGAATTATTTATTTTTCTGTCAACAATAACATGGCAGCCAACTCAGGGCTGACAATGTAAGCTTTTGATTAATCACAGTTAATGATACCCCTGTAAGGACAGAGGTAATATGACTACAAAGATTTTCAGTCCTACGCATCAAACATGTTTGATATTTGAGATGTTGAGGTTATTATCGGGCAAATCTTAAAAAAGGATGGTGTTGGTTTGTGGAGTTTATAGCAACACACACACAGCGACAGCCACAGCAGAGAGACAGCTGTTCACTGAGTAACAGTAACAGGCAAGTGTAACCGGTAAGACAACATGCAAAAGTGTAAAGAGATGCTTCAACACTAGGACATGTCCAACCAAATAAGTGAGAAGGACCCGAGAGAGAGAGGGAGGGGAGAGAGAAAGCCGTCACTGCTGTCGTCGTTTTCTCGTCGCAGCAGTTTCAGGAGGGAAGCCCAGATGGCCCTCACACCAGCCACTTCCACCAGCTTCTCCAGGGGGATTCCCAGGTGCTCCAAGGCCAGGTGAGACTTATAATACCTCCACCTAGTCCTGGGCCAGCCACGAGGTCTCCTCCCGGTGGGACATGTTTGGGACACCTCTAACAGGAGGCGTCCAGAAGGCATATTAACCAGATGCCCGAGCCACCTCAGCTGACTCCTCTCAACGTGGAGGAAAAGGGGGTGTTCTCTGAGCACCTCTTGAGTGTACAAGCTCCTTATCCTATCTTTAAGGCTGAGCCTGGCCACCCTGCAGAGGAAACCCATAACAGCAATCTTGTTCTTTTGGTCATTGCCCAAAGTTCATGACCAAAGGTGAGGGTTGGCACGTAGATCAACCGGTAAATCGAGAGCCGCGCCTTACGGCTCAGCTCTTTCCTCACCACAACAAATTGGTTAAGCGACCCCATCACTGCTGACGCCGCTCCGATCCGAACAAGATGGCAAGATACTTGAACTCCTCCATTTGAGGCAGGACCTCCCCTACGACCCAGAGAAGGCAATCTACCTTTTTCCGACTGAAGACCATGGCCTCAGACTTGGAGGTGCTGATTCGCAAGAGAGAAAGCATTCATTATTATTATTTTTTCAGTAAGTGAATTATTCAAATTAAGTACCATAATTAAATTGAGGTTTTATTTACACCTGCATGACACATGAGCTTTGAGTCTTTGAATTGGACCACTCTGGGTCTTCTAATTTTTACTGTGTCAAATCTTTTCAAAACAGTGCACAAAAGGTTTTTGTTCTAAAATTTTATCAGCATAACAATAAATGTTGGTTTTAAGTACAAACGGAGTCATGGCTGTTAATTTTCTTCACCCCCCCACTCCCCCGTTTCCTTTAATCAGAGAACATCAAACAACCCTAAGGGATGGGAAACCACGTTGGTGATTGCCTCTTCATTATGTTTGCAGCTGTGTTTAGGATGATTTCTTCAAATTAAAATGATTCATTTCTTGGAAATGAAAAAAGACCTGATTATAGGCATGCACCTCCACTCGCTGAGCGTACCAGTTTTTCTGCAGTTCTCTTCTGAGCTGCAGCACATCAGCAGAGACATTCTTACCAACCCTCATGTACGTCTTAAAGTTTATTAAGTAGACTGCTTGCCATTACCTAAATTGCCTCTCATGTTATGAAGTGTCACTGCACTGAGATGAAGATAAAAATGCAATCCAAATCTGAAGAGCAGTGAAGGCATTTTCTCTTCTTTTTTTAAGTTGAGGAGGCCACATTACTGAGATAGCCTATTTAAATTCTTGGGCTGGAGTTGCAATATGGCCTTCAATCCTGATGCAAGGTTCCCCCAGACTTTTTAAGTTGTAGTACGCATTGATTCACCAGGCCAAGCCTTCTTTTAATCTCAGTAAGAGGTATACATAAATACGGTATATTTGGAGAGAATATTATTTGAAACCAAGTGTAAACCTTGATAGGTTTGAAATAACCTATCAAGGTTCACATCTTGATAGGTTATTTCAAGGTCAATCACAAGCCCGCATTTTTGTCAGGGGTGGGAGAAAAAAATTAATCATATAGGTATTGCAATTTTTTGTCTTACAATTTTCAAATTTATTTTTATTGTTCAAAAAACTTTTTACACTTTTTAAAAAACTGACTTACATATGATGTGTATTTTGTGGGGGAATATGCTTCCTGAAATAGTCAGTAGACAATCATAATCATTCAACTGTTTCCCTGGTGTTAAAAATGCAGACTTAAAATCGACAATATTGTGGAATCGCAATTTAAATCAAATTGGCATTCAAAAAAATTGTGGAAGAATCGAAGAGAAAAGCATACCTTCCCAGCCCTAGTTTTTGTGATTGGCCACCTCTCCAGAGGCTTTCCGGAAGCCAGCTAAAGGCAGAGCTCATTGTTTTGGCTCTGCTCCCTCTATTGTGGTCGATGAGTTGAGCTGTATGATGAGGCTGTCGCCTCACAGGATGTTGGAGTCAGGCCGTTCCACTTTGCCAGAAGCTCAGATGAACCAGTAAGGAAAGCCTGTAATTCTTACATCAGAATTTGATAAATCTCGCACGTATTATGGTCTTGTATTTTCTCCCGTTTGTCTGAGATTTTAGCAGTTCACATTTATTTTCTAAGATTATGACAACATAAGTTTACCTTGTGATTTGAAACTTTGCATACATCTAGTTGGGACATCAAAATTTGTAACTTTGCAGTCGTTGTTATAAGTGTTGAAAAGCATGATAGCCCTCTTTAAATTCACTTATAGTGTCACATAACAGGAGTCACATATCACAAAAAGGCAGTCTAAAAACTTTGATAACTTACTGGAAAGAGGAAGAGAGGTAGAAGCACACTCTCTTAGACACAAGGTTCATAGCAAACATAAACATACAAGTACTTACAGCTTAATACCAAGAAAGAGAGCAGACCACTACCGAGCCAACCTAATCAGCACAGCAATACATCAAAACCCCTCAGGGTAAACAGACAGCAGAAAGAAATAGTACAGTGAGAATATTAGTGTGTACCTGTAACAGCAGCAAAAAACAAAGCGACATGTACAGCTAGATTAAAACGGGGGTGATAAAACAAGCATGTGGAGGTTATGCTTGTTATTCTGTGATGTGACAATTATAATAAATCTACACCTGGATGGAACTGAAGATACAATAATTTGAAAATAAAAATACTAGTTTGCATTTCTACCGAGTCTTAACTTCTAAAATCTGCTACTTACATTGCATTACGCTTACGCTTCATTCGCTCCATTCACGCATCAAATGTAAATAATTTCATTATTTCTTAGATACTGGGGCCAGGGATACAGGCCAAGCATGGTAGAAATGAACCACGTCACACAGATTGCTACGATTTATTTGTTGTGGGGAGGAGAGGGGAGGGGAGGGGAGGAGAGACACCCTGACATGAGTAAATAAGATCCAGAGAGGGAAATAGCAGAGGTAAAGTGTTACTTTTATTGCCCAGGCTGCAGGTGCTGCAGCTTTCCAACTGACCCCATAACCACATGCACACACATGCACTCACAAGATTGCTAGGTAATCCGACCCCCTTACTCACTTGCCTCCATGCAAGCTCCTTTTTATTCCGGTTTCGGTAATTGAAAGAAAAGGTATCATATAATTCAGGGCACCCACACACTGACACGATCAGTTTGTCCTCCATTTTAGATACTAGTGAATAATCATCTGTTTTCATACGTCACCTGGCAACCTTATCACAATGCAAATATCCACTCAAGTTGAGGCATTTTCAGCTCCCACCCCGCCAGAGTAGTACAAGCATCTAATCGCGTCTTCGCATTGACTTAACATGTAATTCGTTCACGCAAATGATTTTACTCATGCTTTGCGTATAGAGACAGGAAGTGGCGAGCCAGCCAGATACACCGATGAAGGCAGGGATGAGCTAAGTTGAGCTCCCACACAAACTTGTGTTTTCAGCAGTCTGGTGGAAAGAATATTACAAGGTGTTAAGCTGCTCGATTGAGTTTTATGTTACTGTAACCAAGTGTTGTTCCCAAGGTACCGCCAAAGCCTCAGAAACCACACTCAAACAGCACACATCTCTCAGAACTAATATAAAAAGACACTAGAGTTAAAACTCTTTCAGTCCGTAAATTTAGGAAAAATAGTTGTTTCAGCACCAGCTCCCACTTTCAATTAGATGCAATTTTTCTGAGAAACTAAGACTTGAAAGAAGTGTGTAACAACACATCTCATGGAAAATGAACTACTCTGCTGCGCCACTTTCTCAACAGTGGGAGGAAATAACAGTTCAGTGGGAGAGCATGTGTAAATTATGCACTCAAGTAAATATCTGTTAGTTGAAAATCGTAAAAGGGACATGAAAAGTTGCTTTTGTGAGTTTAAAACACAAATCATCATTTTCAGAAATACTGGATAAACATATATAAGATGGTAATGGTCCTCAGTTTGGATGGAAATTGTGTACTCAGCCAGGTTTTTGGAAGAATAGAAGGGCTCCGGAAGTGTAAAAAAATGAAAGAATAAAGTTACATTTTTTAGAATTGCAACAAAAAAAAAGAAAAAAAAAAATTTTGTGGTTAAGTCTAAATGTTGAGAAAAATGGACCAAATATATCAGAGTTAAGTTGACACTCAGTACGTTTACATAACACTTGAAAAAAAACACGAATTATTGCCTTACTCCGATTAATATGACCAATTTATTTTCCAGAATACACTGACAAAGTAAAATACACTGTCAATACAATGAAAACAAATGCATAATGATACATCTGTACAGTGTAAATAAACTGGTAACAGCCTTTTCGGCTTACATTAAGCCATATGCACCGTGACGCGGCACAGGCTGTGGTTTGATGGTACCAATGACTTCGATTCGTTTTGGATCCCAGACACAATTCTCCTCCAAACCACTTGGCACCATCCCACATTTTGGCGGCACCCAGGCACTGTCATATCCGGAGGCATTCCAGGTCTTCTGAAGTGGGTGTCCCTGGCGGTTGATGATGATCACATTCCCCACATTGACCCGGACTCTAATGACGACCCTGTCCCACTCAGGGTGCTTTATGGGATAGCGGCTTGCTTTCGCAAGGTCTCTGCTGAGATAGACACCAGGTCCCAGCATCCCATCTTCAGACTGGCGAAAACCATTGTCTCGGATGGACTGAGCAGCAAGCTTGGTGGTGCCATGGTACATGATGTAGGTTTCATTGCTCTTCGGGTTATTGAGATTCAATCGAGAACTCCCTTTAGGCAGGTGAAAGTCATCTTCAGCCCACTGGTACGACATGTTGTCAGAGTCACTGTAAGAGAGTGGGTTTTTAGTCCAGAGATGAGCTCACTTTTTAACCTTGTGTTGTCATACACAGTCAGCTTTGTCTTAATGTAAGTGTTTACATGCTTGACAATGGCGATGTATAAAGACGCCTCCGGAGAGCAGACTGGTCAGCTTAGGTAATGTGTAACTTCTGGGTAAACCTCTGACTATCATGCCAGTTTGAGATTAAGAAAGAAGGAGTGGCAACAACACTACCTTAGTAGTAAGTGAGCCTGCTGGAACAATGACAAGTTTATAAACTTATGTAATGGTCCCAGAGGTAACAGCATTGTACAGATTTGAATAATTGCAGAATTGCACACCAGCATGTCTATAAAATAGTCACATTACCACTATGCAATTAGTGTGGCCAAGAAAATTCACAATAACAACAGTATTCCTATATAGGGGAAAATTAAGATAAATAGGAATATATGGCTTCAAGGGGGATAGACCACAGTCCCATTACAGCAATTTTCAAACTTCTGAATTGTTATCATGTGTTATGACTCTGTTCCAGGTTGTAAGGCATGTTAATGTCAATATTTAGACTAATTGCAGTCATTTCACAGCTTCTTTATTGGTGAATTGCCACGCAGACTGAAGACAAACATGATCAGGAGAGTTAAAAAATCGTATTTTGAAATTATGAAACACATTTGACAGCCAATTAGATCACATGAGAACACAGTCAACTAAGTATTCAACAATCTCCTATTAGGCCTTAATTTTTGAAAATCATAGATAAAACAGACAAGGAAATGTTTGACACATTTGTCAGGTGACTACTTTGGAAGGGTTAATGTTTATTTTGTTGTCTTATTTGTTCTCCTTTTCTTATCTAAGAAAGGGGCGCTGGTCAGGCTGGTGGTCCAACAGTTCTCCTGTTCCTGTCACCCTGTATGCATCTGTCTACTGTATGTTTCATGTAAAGGAAGAACTGTAAATGGGAATTTCCCCTTGTGGGACTAATAAAGGCTTATCTTATCTTATCTATTTTTACATCACATTACTATGTTTTACACTACTGGGACATTGTCTTAGTTTCAGCCTTGCATTTCTACATAGACTTTTTTTAATCAGCAAGCCCACCCTGTGGAGCTAAGACGAACAAGTTAAAACCTGAGTATGTGCAAATTCTGGGTAAACTCCACCCAAAACTCTTAGTTTTCTCTGCATTTGATGGTATTTTAACCAGTCCTTCTACCCTGATAGCTCCCTCTGCTGAACGATTCACAAAAGTCAGAAAATGGCTTCAGTTTAACCACAGCTAAAGTTTCAGTTGTAAACTTTAAATCAGACTTTTCAATAACTTGTGCTCTTCTATATTGGTATCTTGATAAACTTTTCAAATACAGCAAAAGAAACAAAGTGTGTTCACATACCTTTCCTCTCTCTTGCTCTCCTCAGTAAGGCAGACTGCGAGGTGACTTCACTTTTATAACGGCCTCAGACTTCGGGAAGGAAAAACCATATATGGTTTTCATGTTTTCACTTTCATTTCACCTTTTGCTCACATTTCTGACTTTCGTTTATGTTGGACAGGAGTTTTTTTTAAGAGCTGCCAACAGGATGTGAGGGATGTTTGCTGATGCAGTGAGCGAGGAAGTTTTGTGACTTTCCAGGCCACTCCTCTGAGGTCCCAGAAATTTTTTCCATTATTGGAAGACGACTACAGTATTTTTTTAATTTTAGGCAAGGAAAACTTTTTTTTTAATTATATGAAAACTTTAAATTGTTGTTTTGGACTTCTACAGTATCTTTTTAAGATTGAACAACACAAACTAACAGGCTGAGGAAGTAGATGACCAGCAACTCCAGGGCTCATAGGGGCTAAATTAAAGTTCTGGTGCTGTTTTGTTTTGTACGTATATGATATTATAAGTGTATTATATGTACTGCAGCAAATGTAGCTCTACTGTCTAAGACAAATATCCTGCAAAGGACAATTAAGACAATTTTGATCTTGATCTTGATCTTCTTGTCCACAGAGTCTGGCATTCAACAGAGTGATAAAAGTAGTATTTCTCCCTCAAAAAAAAACAAAAAACTTTTTCACTCAGAAATCCTTTTTGTAAAGTTGTCAGACACTAGAATTAACCCATATATGCCCACATATGAAATATAGTATGTTAAGGAAAAACCCCACAGATTTTTTTCTGTTAGAGATAGCAACACAAAATTTGCTATGGATACTGTCAAGACATGTGGCTTCACACACATACAAAAAAAACCTATTTGACAAATGCATCATGCCTTACTTTGTACACGAAGTTAACTCACTGTCAAAAAGTAATTTTACTGTCAAATTATAATTTAAAGTAATTATAATCATAAAATGTATTAATGGGCATTAATGGGTTAATACAGGAAAACTGAAGTGCATATAAACACCTTAGCCTGACTATGATTGGAGTTTGAGAATGCCGATTGGAGTCGGAGAACTCTGATTAAGACACCTAGATAATGCAATTGGAATTCAGTTTTCTCTACCATGTACCAGCGCAGTCGGAGTATGATAGGACAATGCATATGCGCGTGCTGAACCCTGGAACAAAAACACCAGAGAAGAGGAGTAGCGTGTATACGCGGACAAGGAGAGAAATCTGATTTGGCCGAAAAAAAAATAAAGAATTATGAGCTTCATCCGATTAAGCTGTGCTTGTAAACCCACTGACTGTCTCCAGATGGAAACACTCCTTCACTCGTTGGTCAATACTTGCCTGGTCTCTCTTTGGTTTAGCCTCGAATAAAAAGCTAATCAATTTTCAAAACACATGTAAGCATGTAGAAATGCAACATGTAATCTACTAACCCTTTCAGTCCGTTATCCAACAATGTGGTTTTAAAGCTAGCACCTCTAATACTGTATGGGGCTGACACCACACACTGAATTAAAAAAAATTAATCCATGGTGTGATGCCCCTATAGGGTCATGCTGCAGTGGGAGGTGTGTCTGGTTGGCTTCTCTCTGCACCCTAATCAGAGCAACTATGCACACCTGGGTGCTGGGAGTATTTAAGCTCCCACAGTTACTTGCAAGGCCCTCTTTTGTTTCTCCTGACTGCCTTTTACAGGTACTTGGTTTGACCTGGTTTGGTTTGGGTTGGCTTGTCTTGACTTAGTTTGGTTTGGTTTGGCTTGGCTTCGTTTAGCTTGTTTTGACTTAGTTTGGTTTGGTTTGGTTTTATTTTGTTTGGCTTGGCTTGTTTTGACTTGTTTTGGCTTTGGTTAGTTTGGTTTGGTTTGACTTGGTTTAGTTGTAGTTTATGTTGGTCTTTACAACACCCTCGCACACTTACACCTACTTTCCACTCATGCACACATTACACAATACTGATTTTACTGATTCACACACCTCATATCTTAAATATTCTAATTTGGTTCAATTTGAATTAATAAAGAGTTGTTTGGGAGTTGATACATGGTGTGTGTCTTCCTTCTTTTTGTTGTGACCACCTCAGCCTGGTCATGACAATTGCTATTTCCCATATTTCAGAGACAAATCAAACAAAAGCTGCCATCATAGCCCTCCATTTTGGCTTTGTGTTTTACCAATGATAAAATTTAGCATATTCTTGAGAACCCAGCAGCTGTCCAAATAAAGCAGCCCCTCCTCTGCATAATAAAGTGAGCTGCATGCAGTGAATCAAATCAGCTGAGGGCGTAGAACTGTGCACATAGTATGATCTGTAAGCACTGACGCCTCAACTGTGTATCTTACTGCAGCTATTTGTAGACCATTTTTAATGTTTATGAGTTTCCTACTTATATAAATGTATGAAACATCTCTTACCTTTGGCTATAGGCTAACTTCAGGGAATTTTACTTTAGTTTCCTTTCAGCTGTACAAGCTTTTAATTGAGATGATGGACTCAATCCATTTCCTCTTCTCTTCTCGTTGCATAGGAATCAAAAATGCTTATGATGGTCTGTTTAGACTCTGATCTTATTGAAAAATGCAGCTTTAGCTCCACTTTCCCCCCATTTGTTTTGGAAACTGTATTCAAAATTGGATTTCGTTTGGATTTCTTATTTTTTATTATTTTTCCAGAAATTTGACTCTGTTCTTTCCTTTTTGACTTTATTCTTGAATTGCATAATGAAATCAGTCTTCTGCTTCTCTTCTTCTGTTTTCTCCTTCCTGGCTCTGAAACTCTTCCGCAGAGGTTAAGCCTGTTGGGATCAGAAATCTCTTTTCCAAGTGAGACCTGGCCAAGTGTGACAGCAGCACAAAGTTTCAACCACGAAACACTGAGTAAGTACTGACTAACTCACTGCACTTATTGACTATTATAAAATACGTACAAGAAGTCAGCTCAAACATATGATAACCAACAGCCCAATCATAGAAATTTCACAAAAACATTCAGGTTAACACAGCAGTATTAAAATGACACCTAAGCCGGTGACCTCTGAAAATATCTTGCAGGTGTTCCAAAACCTCTAGGGTACATTTCCTCTAGGACTGGGAGGTAAGTTGAAGATAAATTTCAAGAAGGAGGATCTTGTTAGAATTTCCAAGTTGAGAGGAGTATTTAACAAAACATATGAACATAGCTTTAAAAATGAGGTGTTCACGCTGTCGGACATTGTTGCATTTTCCTCCCGTCTACAAACTCTAAGATTTATTGTATTCTGAAATTGCTAAGCTGACTATCTGCTCCCTTACTGGGTGAAGCTTCCGTAAGAACAGACCCCTGGTGACTGGTTGAAGAAAAGGTCACAAATCCTGCAAAATGAGCAAAGTGAACGGAGCTGTGGACCAACTTTAAAAATTTAGTAAAAGTCACAATAATTTTTTTTTGTTTTTTCCCTGGTTGCGATGTTGACATGTAGTTATTGTTAGACTGGTTTGTGCTCAAGTCCTTTTTTTTCTGTGCAGTTCCATTTTTTTAAAAGTTTTTAGGGGTCATAAAAACGGGAAATTAGGTAATATTTTCAATGATTGACACTTGCATACAGTCAATGGGCGTATGAAGATTACTTAGAGCATCCAGGAGACGCTGTTTGAGCAGAGCATCATCACAGCTATTCTCCCACTGAACGCTACTGCGTTGCAGGTCTCAGGAAATGGAGAAAATTGACGGAAAAATTGGGAGCTTTTTGGCTTTAAACTCGTACAATGATGGGAGGCGGAGTCACGTAGCCCATGCCATACACAGTCTATGGTCCTATTACTGTCTTTGGTTGTTCCCGGCAAAAAGAACAGATTACTTTTTTCCAAACTTAGTTTGAACTTTAGCAACAACAAATTGCACACTTTCTAACATATGGATGTTATGAATCCCAACCTTTGAGAATAAAAAAGAATGAAATGACTGAGGCAAATTATAAGCATTTTCGTTCAGGCTATGATTTATAGGCTGTAAGTTTTACTTCTGCAGAGGGGCAAGTTTTAAGATTCTGCTTTCCTTTTGCAGTTGCCTGCTGTCTGCTTTCAGTGACAGTGAAAGTATTACCTTTTGAAGTCAAAGGTTCATTCAGACAACAATAAGTTTTACAAGAACGTTGGGAGAACACACATTTTTTGTCTGGGACAGAACCATGCATGTCATCGAGATGGCTGGTTCTGAATAAAAACAGGGGGCTGTAATGCCAGGCTTTTCTCTCTCAGTTACAGCCTATAATAATACTCTGTGCTTTCATGCCAGGTATCATTTGGATAGAAGTTGGGAAATATTACAAATGTTGGATGAATCACAGCGGAGTATGACAGTTCCAGTGCAGATGGAGAGAGATGAGGAGGAAAGCAGGGGGAAGGCAGAGTAAAACAGTCAGAGGGCAGGGGGATTCTCAGATGCAGGTGTATTTATAGCTGGAAACTGAGAATCTGCCTCTGTCACACACACACACACACACACACGCATACACACACTGCAGGCTATCCTAGTCCTGCTGTTAAATAATGCAACTGCTCTGAGATCTAAGGGACTCCTATTATATTAAGCTTTAGTGTGCCAGTGTGTGCGTGTGTGTTTGTATGTGTGTGTGCTAAGAAGCTTACACATGTGTGCGCATCATTAGAAGGCACAAACTGCCTTCACTGTGCTTTCCAACACTCTTTGCTCTTTGTTAATGGGCCTCTGTGTGTGTGCACACGTGCGTGTGTGTGTGTGTATTCTGCCTGGTGTGTTCGTGCCAGCATTCATTAGGCTATATCGCGTTTAAGACATCATATTCCTGTCCCTGCTTTGCATTTGTAAGTGTGAGTGTGTTTGTGATCGTGTGCGCCCAGTTATTTGCCTCCCCAGGATGTGTTTATATTAGAAAAGTATTTTTGTAGTGTTCCGCCACCAAACTTGCAAGGCCTCTTGTGCCCAATTAGGCAGATCGTTTGAGCCGCCGTCGTCACATGGTTCCCTTTCTTGGCAACTCTCTTTCCCTTTATCACACCATCCCATCGTAGCCTTCATCTGTCCATCCTGCAGTCTGGCAGAAGTAGGGAAAATTAATGAATGTCAGACTTGCAGTGTCAGAGCAAATCTATGTTTCCGAGTCTGTGAGATGCAGCCTGAGGTTACAGGTGTGAAAACTGTTGGATTTGGACCTGCTGTGAAGCTGTCGGACATGACGATGGCTGATTATATCAAAGTGCAAGACATGCAGAGTCTACTGTCCGCACGCATACTCTTTGTTGGTCTTTCTCTTCTTTGATATTTGAGAGGATGGATGTCAGGAAGAAAGGAACAAAAAAAAAAAGGAGTGAAGAGGTGGAGGAGGAGAGAGAGTGGGAGGATCTCTGCTTACCTATTTAACCAGTCAGTAGATCTGTCTCCACCAGGAGAGGGGGCGACACTGATAGTAGACTGGGTCTCTGCCAGCTGGCAAAGGTGCTGGCACACACACACATAAACACACATACAAACACACAGTGAAAGTCTTACACTCTGGCTTTTCTCCTGTGGTGCACTGAGACACTCCACGACCTTGGTAAGGGCAACAAACAGCTCAGCACTAACAAGGACACACACTTACAAACACACTTGCACAAATTGCACAAATACACACACATTTTAACAAGCCACCTGCTCTCTGTCTAAATGATCCTCCATGTTGCCACTGACCTGTTATAAATTCAGCAAGTTGGTTTGTTTGTGTGTGTTTTGGTGAGAGTTAAAAGGAAAAAAGAACAGTGTCCAACTCCATCGCTCTTTTGGTCTTCACTGCAGATAAACAGCTGGAAAGTTTTTTTTTGTGTAGTGGATGTGTGCTTGTGTTTGTGCAGCACTTGTGTGTAAATGCTAATTGACACCTCTAAGTGAAGCAGAGAGTGATGCAAACCTGCGACTGTAATTACAGGTGTTTTAGAGTTTGGTACAAAACATTTATGGTCTTCACATAGATTCCGATTTGCACATCCCTGATTGGACGGCGGAAAGTTGAGCTGTGTGTTTCTGTCAGGGAATAGGACGGAAGAGGCAGAGACGGAGCGTATTTGTGGAGTTTTCTGCCAAACAGATGTTCATCAGCATTTCAGAGTGTTCCTGTGAAGCCATTAGACTACATTACCGAGAACACACTAATTATGTAGGTGAAACTGTAGGGAAGCACACACACACACACACACACACACAAACCAGAGAAGTGTATACCCTGTAGACAAAAACAAAATAACACAAAATCAGTCTGCAGATACCAACATAATGTATATCCACTGCATCCAAATTAGATGCATAAACATAAACTCTAAATACCTCTGCGCCAGGGTCTTGTCTCAACCTTGTATATTCACCAGCCAACTTTACATCATCCCACTTATTACAAACTACAAACTAAATATATAAACAAGATGACACCAAGTATACATCTAAAGACGACTTCACTGTCAGTAATCAAACACCAACTGTATTGAGTGACTTGTGGGATCAGGTTGTTTTTAAGGTTGCTTTTGCTATTAAAAAATTATTAACCAATATTATTCCCATTTACATGCCGTTCCTCACGGTCAGCGTCTCATTTATTAGCATTGTGTGAAAAAAAAAAAAAAGTTTTAGAGCTGTTTCTGGTTGGCCGGCTCAGTCGTTTACTGATCTTCTTCCACCTTGACATGGACCACTTCACAGTTCCGACACAGTGAGTCAGTCATGGCCTGTCTGGACCTGTGGTCTGGACTCGGTACCAAGTTCAGAGATGCTCCTGGGCTCGGCCTCTATCAGGACGCATGAAGCTAAAGCGAGCTAAAACTTTTTTCACTCAATGTAAATGGATGAAAGGCGGTGACTGCGCATGTAAACAGGAATAATGTCAGTGGATGATTAAATTGTTGGAGCTGGATGACTGATAATGCTGACTGTTTTAGACACCAGAATGAAGGTAAGAATTTTTGTCTTTGTTATTTAATGTCAGATTTCCATTAAACAGTGTTGTGGTGTAATGAGCTGCTGTGAAAGCTGTAGCTTGGTGAACACAGATGTGTCCAGGATGAGAGGAGACAGGTGTGTTAAAGAAGGAGACTCTGGTGATGGACAAACTGTCCATGGTGACAGCCGATAGCACACGCAAAGTCCTCGTTTAAAGAGAGCAGTCCACAACACTTTTGCCCCCTCTATCAATTGTGCATGCAATGATAGTAGATCACCCACAACATACCCACTAATAGCATGTGCAATTTTTCAGTT